GGTAAATATGGAACACCTATAATAGTCGTAAATAAACTAATGATTCTCGGTCTGTGAACCATACTAAGGTCTCTGTACCTAATTAAGGTACCCCGTACCATAACTAAGGTATATGTGCTATTATTATATGTAGAGGTACTACTATTAGTGGTGTTCCATATTTACCTCTAATAGGTTTATAAGCCATAGTTTTTTCTCAGTGTAGAGTACTGCCGCCCCGAGGAAGAACGCCGTATGAGCCTTCAGGCACTGCCATAATGCCTTATTTAAAAAAACACTGGAAAAAAACACATTGGATCTAGAGTCCAGAATCTTGAAAACATTGACAAGAAAAAATACTCTTGATTCAATCAGATTTAAGCTTAAATCAAAAGGAAATCCGCTCAAATTAAGAGGCTTGGTTCTTGATTCAAACTTAAATCTGATTGAATCAAGATTATTTTTTCTTGTCGATGTTTTTAAGAGTCTGGACTCCAGATCCAATGTGGTTTTTTTCCAGTGTAGCGGTATTATGGCCAAAAACAAAAATGCCCAAACGTGACGAATGGCAAAATATTGAGCTTGGAAGCTTTCCACAGAAATATCCATGGAGAAAATGAAGACTTACTATCACTCGAACATTTTTTGCTCATAGACTTTTTTTTACATTAGCCAATTTTTTACGCTTGACATTTATTTTTGGACACTTTGTCCTATCACCCTCAAATTCATCCATAGAATCGAAAACCCACAACCATTGTCACGCGATGAATATTTCAACAGTGGAACTCCCGAAACACGTATTTCGTTTGCGTTGTTCAAAAATATCCGATCCTACATTATCTATTTAAAGGCAGTGACGTGCGAAGGGGGGGCAGGGGGGTCTTGGCTCTCCCTAGAATTGAAAATAGTATCATCTGGTCCCTCCCAGAAATTCTGGATGGTGGGAAAAGACCTTCGTCGAGGATGATTATCTCTTGTAATTTGAGTTCATTTTCATCTTATTTCGTCTATTACTGTAATTATTCTATGCAGTTCGTAGGTTTTAGCACTGCCTAACTCACTTTATTCCGTACTTTTTCAATAACCAATAAAAGCTGTCGAAAGTGAAAAGCAAGACGAGAGACAATCACCCTCGATGCGGCCGGATTTAAAGAATCAAGTTGGCGCATCCGCCTATTTCAGGCGCGGCTGAATTTCAGACTGCAGGCGTGGCGATATTTACGACCCCTATTCGTAGGGGTTGTTCCCGGGGATGAAATGAAAGCAGCGGATGGAGCACACAGCAATGCGACGCGACGACTAGCATTATGGATTATCTCGGTAGCGTGGGAATTAAGCAAAAGCATTCGAAATTGAATAATATTTTAGCGCTTCAAGAATTTCAGCGACGCTCCCGAGAATACGATTGCTCTGCTCCGTCGGAGATTCTTGCATGGCTTTGAGATATATCGATTAATCTGCCCTTTAAATCTATGGGAAAGGATCGATAGAAAGGGTGTTTGCAACGCTAACCTCCATAATCGATTCTTTATTATAGCTTTAGATGGGGGAATATCGATAATCGATCATCAACGCCTCGCAGCTGAAATTAACATGCCTGGAAAGTCTTTTCAGGCGAATTTTTGCCGCCAAATTTGGTAGGCTTGGTGTCGTATTTGATGACTGTTCTTTCTCATAAATATTTTCCGGTGGTGATCCTGATTCGTCGAATTTGAAAAATCTCGGAGCATTTTGAAGGGCGTGTCTTTGTTTTCAATTAAATTGACTAAAGCTAAGTTGATCGATGGCTTTTTTTATTCATAGTTTCTAAATCGTTCGTCAGAACAATACTCCCGTGCTAAGGAAGAACGCCGTAAGCACATTCGAGAGTTGCCAAATTTCCTTCGAAAAAATGTTTATTTTTGAGGAAAATTATGAATATTTTTCCTTGAAATTTTCAGAAATTTTAGATCAAATTACGAACAAAATTATCTGAGAAATTGGTAGACAAATGTTCAAGAAATTTCCTGGAAATTAGTGATTTTCCAGGAGAAATTTGGCAAAGCCTGAAGGCTCATACGGCGTTTTTCCCCAGCACGACAGAATAAATGAACGTATTTCTGCCATACGGAACCAGATACAGATGGGAAAGAAGGGGTTTGCCCGTTAGCCGAGGGCCGTAAGAATGAATGGGAATTTTAAAGCACTCGTGACATCAGCGGAGATGACGGGAGAGGCGACGCCACAACAAGGTCTTTAACTCATGAGCCCTGTCCTTAACGCTATATTGCCATGCCCACGGCTCATGATTGCCGCATGCAGTTGACGCTCAGTTCTGTAGGAGAATGTAAAATCCCGCTATTCCATTTCCCCAAAGGGAATCACGCCCACCTTTACATTGTTTCTTATGCAGTTTTCTAGAGCATACCCCATATTTCCCACTCGTTTATAGTTCCGTTTAGCAGGAATACGTCCAAATGTAAAGCTGCATGAAATTGGCAGGACACAAGCGTAAAATAGCCTAAGAAACATTCAAGGAAAAATTCTCAAAGCAAGGATCGAGGAGGTTCAAAGTGAACAGGAAGCCAGAGAACAACCTCAATTGGACTGAATTTTGCAATTTGGAACTATAAATTCTGGCTCATCTGAAAAAAGACTTATGTGCATAGGGAAACGAATAGCACATACGTTGTTTTTAAACCGAGCCAGAATTTACAGTTCCAAATTGCAAAATGCAGTCCAATTCAGAGCCTGCAAGTCCACTGTCTAACATTTGTTCGTCATTTTATCAGATCATCGCTAGGATATTTTCTGATAATTCTTCGTTATTCCCTGAAGGAGAGACGTAACTTTTTTCCAAGGTTGCAAAATTGACTCAAGCAATTCACTTTTTCACAGGAATATACTTGGGCAATTGTTGTCCAAAATTTTCCTGATTTTTGCATGAGATCAAACGCTGAATCGGGGAAATTTTTCGATGGAAATTCCGAATATTCTCTTGGAAAAATTCAATTTACCCGAGAAAATTTGACAACATGGAAATGTAGCTACGTATTTTTGTGTGCGGAAAACGATGAATTTTAAGGGATCCCTCCAAAGTTTGTCAAACAAATTTCAATGTACTTGCGCAATTTTTGTCCAAAATGTTCCTGATTTTTGCATGTGATCAGACAAAAAATCAAGGAATTCTCTCGATGGAAATGTTCAATATTCTCTTGGTAGAAATTCAATTAACGAGAGGGAATTTGGTGACATCAAAATTTAGTTACGCTTTTTGGTGCGGGAAACAACGAATTTCAATGGATCCTGCTCAAAGTTTGGAAAAACTTTCAATGTACTTGCGCAATTTTTGTCCAAAATGTTCCTGATTTCCGCTTCAGATTGGACGGGCAATTTTTCGATGGAAGTGCCGAATATTCTCTCGGTAAAAATTCAATTTACGAGAGGGAATTAGCAACATCAATATGTAGTTAGATTTTTTCGTACGTGGAAGACGACGAATTTCAAGGGATCCTCTTCAAAGTTTGGCGAAAATGTTATCATTTTGTTCATTAATGGTCGTCAGAGTTCCAAGAAAAGCCTCACACCAGCGCGCGACCAATCAGAAAGTGCCCATATTTCCCTTGTAAGATACTTTCGGCCAAACTGCGTGCCCGAGCCTCTATACTTGAATTTTTATGTTTTCGAGGACGATTAAATTTGCATTATTCCGCGCGTGGCCGTTTTGGGCTGCAACGACCTAATTTCCAGGGAGTTTTGAATATATTACTTGATGCGCAGGATGAAAACTCATCCATCCCCCAACCCTCGGCCGAGCCCTACCAGGAAAGTTCACTTCCCTTAAAAGTTCGTTTTTCAGTCTAAATGAGCGTAAGTTTAGCCGCCGCGCCTGTTAACCCTCATTAATTTTATCATGCACCACCCACAGGCTTTGTTGTTTTCGCTGTGCTCGGACCACCGTTCCAAGATCAACCCGGAAAATAACTAAAATTACAATCTAGGAAGATGCTAGGGATCTAATAGTGTAGCATCCATCGCAAAGGAAAAACCGCCTTCCTATGGCCAAAAAATTTATCCCTATCACAATAAGAACCTAGCTTTAACCCACGTTTTATTGGACATTTAATAAAATAATTAGAGCTGGTTTTCGAATGAACATAATTTTGAGCGCACATCAAAACCTTTATCAGAAATTTACAGAGTGACATTCTTCACAAAGGAATAGAATTGTCTTCCTTTGGCTAAAAAAATATGTAACCCCGTTATAATAAGAACTTAGCATTAACCCACATTTTATTGGATATTTAATACAATAATAGAGCTGGTTGTCAAACGGACATAATTTTGAGCGCAGATCAAAACCATGATCGGAAATTGAATTTTGAATTTGATACTTTGCAAGTATTTTTTCAGAGTAGTTTTGAATAGTAAACCGAAGCTATAGCATTTATATTTATTTATATAGCAATTAAAGCTCAGTTTTAAGCCGAAACGTCTCGGATTTTTTTGTGCACTTTTTAGCCTTGTTTCCCGTTTTTTCTCATATATTCTTGATATCGCCGTTAGTTAGTCTATTTCCTACCTCCTTTGTCCATTGCAATCATCCGCTTTCACCAATAGGATCCTTCCATATCCCTTTTGTCTTCTTTGTCTTTACACTGAAAAAAAATTCTCGGCGTTTTTACCAAGGTCCGTTGGTACGTACCATCTCACTTCTTTTACCAATTATTGGTAATTTTACCAAGATAGACTGGTAAGCTTACCAAAAAATCGGTATTTTTACTGTTTTTTTTTCAGGTAAAA